AAAGCACCCTATATGTATGTGTGACCGCTGCATCGTGTGTTCCGCGAAAGCGGCTGCGGTACTTACGCTTTTTGCCTCCGCTACGGTACAAAACCGCATACAACTTACAAGCATCATGTTCTTTGAAGTGGGCATGGAAACATGCGCGAAAAGTGAAAAATCACATCAACGTTCAAAGCCATCCCGGAGCGGCTTTGAAGGCGGCTTTGAAAGCGGATTTAGGCTTTTTGTTTTCAGGCAAGGCGAAACGAGTGGTTTGGTGTGTCGAGTGCGCAGAGTTCTTGTTATTTTTGGAGAGGCCGGTACCATGCCTCGAGTTGTCTTTTCTGCCAAGGTGGAGCTACGGCTGATAGAACTATGGGGGAAATACCAGCGAGAAAATGGAACTATGATTAAAAGAGCTGTTGCCGAGAAGAGGATTGCAGATGAGCTGAATCTGTGCGCAAAGCAGCTATCCGAAGGTGATCAGGAAATGATATACACGGCCTCTACGGTTAACAACTCCAGCACACTCAGAGGATTACACCAGTTGTGGAGGCATTTTACCGAGATCATACTAGCGGACCAAGAAATAGTATTTTTGAAATATTGAGCCAAGTGCCGCACGGCACCAGTGCGCTCAGCTCATGCAGGAATCAAAATTCCCTCTCTTCGCCATGGGTCACGCGGGTCACTTTTTACGTGTTTCTGTCCCCGGAGAAAATTGGGGAAAAAAATCGCAAAAAACGCGGGGAAAAACGCGGCATAATATGGCATAATTTGCGATGAATTTGCGGTAAATATGCGGTGAATAATCTTGATGCGCGGCAATTTTCAGTGAGTATGTAGTGAAATCAATCAGTTACAAGTCTCTGGTGTAAGCACTCGTCATATTTGAGTAAAAAGCCGCCACGATGAGACGTTACTGACCGAACAGTGCACTGTATGTACGTGTAGTGCAACAAAAAAGTTAAAAAACGCGGGAAAATCGCGGAAAACACGGTTTTTTTAATCGCAAAAAACGCGGAAAAAAACGGTGCCGCGGAATCGCAATTTTCCCCGAGGACAGGTGTTTGGCAAGCACTGCATTTGACTGTGTGAATGCACAGGCTTTGCAAGTGATTAGTACAGTCATGTAAACGCGAATTTTTGTAGCGGGTGTGAATGCAGCCATAAAAGCTGTGCAAACTTTTCATGTGTGACCGCGGCCTTAGGGGCCGTCCGCAAATATCGAACTTTTTTCACCGAACGAAATATTTTAGTTTAGACCCAACCCCTCCCTCCCCCTCAGAACGTAAAAATTGTTGATATATGCATATACAACAAAAGTCGCAAGTGTGTCACTGCTCCTATGGCCATGTACATGTATCGAAGTTTTCTGAAACGAAATTGGTCAGCCCATTCCCACCCCACAACGAAATTATTTCGTTTCGTGAAAAAAGTTCGATAATTATGGATGACCCCTTAGTGGAGGCCGAACTGTGAAAAGGAGTAGCCTCAGTCAGCATGATCAAAACGCGACGCAGCTCACCAGATCAAGTTGTGGGTCCTCTTTCGGTGGCGAAAGGCGGGCTCACGCCCCTTCATGGCTACTTCCCATTGTCTAACCCCCAAGACAATTATGTAGCCGACTGGCCGAAATAAAATGAAAAACGCGAGCGGCTCAGGATGAATGACTACAATGTTCTGTCGCGGACATGGACATCCAGTCGATTGACCAGGGCCGGCGCCCTCAGCGCGTACAGAACGTCGTCGTTGCATGCAGCGCACATGTTGATACGATGCGACCTGCAGCAGCGCGTAGTAATGCATGCCATGGCTGCATGGCCAGCGCCCTGGGGCCGCTAGACGTGCGACCGGATTTCCATGTCCACGACAGTACCTGCATGATGATGATGTGTTGTGTAGAGTGCTGCTGTGGATGCCGCCAGCCTTTTCCGCCCTTTGACTTGGGCTTGGCTGTAGCTACTGCCTGTAAAAAAAAGGATCTCATTTCCTCTGCCCTGCATGCCTTCCTTTTACTACGATTTATCCCGGCTGTGTACCACGTGACGTGTACGTGGGTGAACAAACAGGCCTGCATGTTGAGTATTGTAGGGTCTACATATTATTCTTTAGTACAGGCGACATCGCTCACTAGCACTGTAACTTTGCATGTGATGACACTTGAACAGCTAGTCTGCCTCTAGAGCTCTGCTCTGGCGACACAGACAGTCGGCTTCATTTCGTAGTTGGTGTGGGAGCATCATGTCACTTGTCAGCAGAAAGGTGGGCCCGCAATGATTATGTAGACCTACATATGGATGTACACGAGTAGCACTGTACTTTTGTAGTGTGGAGCAGGCAGTAGAATCTGATGTCATGTTGTACAGTCATGTACATAATCTACGCGTAAATCTACATCTTCTGACAGATCAGACAGATGAATGAAGCCACAGAGCTCTGGCCGCTGGAGCGTGCAGCGAACGTGTAGAGAGGATCTTGGACTGCTGCACCGTCCGTGCTTTAGTTGAATGCGGAATCGTTTTTTTCTTGCTCGTTGCCGTCTGTGGGTGTTCTAGACGGATGCGTGTTCTGCTTGCGGCCCTTCATATTGTTCTTTTCTGGGAATTTGAGTGACGCTCCGTCGCAATTTGGTTGCGGAAGTGAAGCGCTTTCGTTCGTTACCTGGCCATCGGCAGGTGGCGTTTAGATTTGTGGGACTACCAATCGTCCGGGTCAACGTTACCAGAATAGCGGACGCCGGACAGGAACCACCCGGCCGTTATCGGGAGCAGGTGCTTCTCCCTGGCTTGAAGTCAGGTAAGCATCTCCCATTCAGTCCCTATGTTTCACTGAAGGTGTGCGCTGAGTTCTAGTAGCACAGCAGCCCTAACCTGTAACGATTTATTGGAAAAGGCTTCTGCTGATGTACAGTACTCCGTGTCGTGTGCTCACATTTGTCCGCATGGTATTGCATTGTTCGTAGTGAAGCGCAGCAACGGCAATTCAAACGCGAAGGAATTTTTGGCTGCTGCAATATCCACTCACTCTCAATCCGTGTGCTTTACAAGCAGAGAAAATTAGTCGATGAATAATTTCGTCAAATTCCAAAGAAGGGACTTCTTCCAATCGGAAACGGTGACCTTTCACCAGAAAAACAAAATTATTTGGAAAGTTTTTTTGAGCTGAAGGTTTAGTGAAAAGGTTTCAGCGCTTTCTAGGTTCTGCTCAGTGCCATAGCTTAGATAGTTAGAGCTATGCTCATGACAAGCAAAGTCCCAGGTTCCAGTCCTGTTGGGCTTGCATTTTGTTCTCTTTTCAGGGCAGTCCTAATCCCTGACAGATCACTTTGCAGGGACGCCACCAGGTTCTAAAGAAGTTGTACGACCGAAAGGAGGCGAAAAGAAAGAGGGGGTCTGGGAGACACGTCCCCCTTAAAAAATCTTATTATCAGGAGCAGGTTTTGTCACTACAATTGTCGCTTCGCACATCGCAATGTTTGTGACTTGATTTTCTTAGTCAGGCTGGCGGAATCACTGTTTTCTGTGTTCGAACATTGGTATGACCCTTCCCTCGCAATTGTTACGAAAGCTGTTGTGATTTTGGAGCTCTCTTCCGCACCAAACAAATTCTTCTCGTTTCGCACTATTTCGCCCAGAGTGAGTATCATTTTTCTGGAGTTCGTACCGGTCCCCTACGCGAACCGTGAATTTAAAAAAAAAAGGGCTCAGGGATACGAATCCTGGTATATCTCTTGAATTTGGCATGCTGAATTTGACCTTGGCAAGAACAAAGTGTTCTCAAATTCCTGAAATGCGTTACATGTGGCGCATGTTGCTGCGAAGGTAGCAGGCCTGAAAACACCAACAAAACCAGCGAAGCGCTTGTCAAGGAAAGAAGGTGCGGAACTGCTTACCCTATGTCGCTGGTGGTCGTTACGGTGTACTTCAAAAATGCTAGTTTGCCGTCATCGCTCGCCACCTGGAGGCATCGATTGCTTGAAAACGAAGTTTCATGACCAAAATTTGAACTCGCTTCTTGTTCACCGTTTTGTTGAGTACTGAAGGGTCTGCTTTAAATATTATTATCGCATATATATTTTTGAAACTCGGATGTTGAGCCGATAATAAATCTAGAAATGAAAAGTACACATTGATACGAGTTTAGAGTAACTGTACACCACTAAGTAGTTACTATAGTAACTGGATACTATAGTATCTAGTTACTATGGTAACTAGTCAATATAGTAACTTTATACTATAGTAACTAGTTACCATAGTAACTAGATACTATAGTAACTAGTTACCATAGTAACTAGGTACTATAGTAACTAGGTACAGTAAATATCGGATATAACGTGCCCCTTTGATTTTCGAAAATGTATCACTATATCCGGTGCATCACTATAGCCGATTTGCATGTTTGACCGACACATGGCACATGACTGCACATGAAATGATGCGTACACGCTGGAAAAAGCATGCTGAAAGTGCATGCATGCTCCGCGGACTGTGTACCGGTGCATGACACAGAGCAGTGCATGGCAGTGCAGTACGAGTACAGACTGTACATGTACTAGAACTTCGATACATCATGTGGCATGGCTGCTTCTTCAGCGTGTTCTCCAAAAAAGCCTGAGCTGGATCCGTGCTCACGTAGATCGTAGATCTACTCGGTGTCCAACGAGTTGCGTAGAGCCAGAAATAGACATGAGTGGCTGTGTACGTGAGTTGGCAACATCATCGTGAGAGGCAACACAGCCAGAAACGGACAAGAGCATGCAGAAAGATCACTCTTGATCATTATATGCGATATTTTCCTGTACATTTGATATGGTTTGCTTCCTGAAGGCCATCACAATAAGCGATATATCGGTATAGCCGATAATAGTGTATATAGTGATATTTTAGCTGTATTTTTTCAGATTTGATTTTGATTTTGACGTGTTCTATCACTATAACCGGTATATCATTATATCCGGTCACTTTATAAACGATACTTACTGTACTGTAAAACCGGAAAGTCTAACGAATAAAAAGTTTAACGTTTTTGTAATTTTGGCATGATAACGTGCAGAAAGTTTAACGATGGCTACCTGGCCACCCATCTGTATGCGCATCTTTACACAGACATCTAGCGATAACATATTTTTCAAATAACGAAAAAGAATTGGCCGCTAAAACGTTAGACTTTGTGACTCGTTAGACTTTGCTGTTATACAGTAACTAGATACTGTTATACAGTAACTAGATACTGTTATACAGTAACTAGATACTGTATAACAGTAACTAGATACTGTTATACAGTAACTAGATACTGTTATACAGTAACTAGATACTGTTATACAGTAACTAGATACTGTTATACAGTAACTAGATATTGTTATACAGTAACTAGATACTGTTATACAGTAACTAGATACTGTTATACAGTAACTAGATATTGTTATACAGTAACTAGATACTGTTATACAGTAACTAGATACTGTTATACAGTAACTAGATACTGTTATACAGTAACTAGATATTGTTATACAGTCAGAAAGGGTTTAACAACCCAGTAACAGCCGACATTCTTTGTTGCCGTGGGACTGTGGCTTGTGCTCGTTTCGCTGCGGTTGCCTTCCCCTCTTTGGTCTTTTCTTAAATTAACCTTGGAATTTCCGAGTTGGAAGGCTGTTGGTTAGCGCTACGGAGATGTGTTGAAGCTAGGTGTCAGGTCGATTGTCTCAGTGCTCTGTCAGTGTTGTGCCTAGTTGTTCCAATTTCTGACCGTATATAGTATCAAGTTACAGCCCTAGTTAAAAGCAAAACATAGCGAGGTCTCTGGACTGTCATTAGTGCCAGTACTGTATCCATACCTGCTCTCTCATTTATAAAACTGAGAACATAAATTCTGCTGGCCCATGGCAACATGAACATGAAACATGTAGTGATGAAAGCAGGGATTTTCCCACTGTCCGTAGGATTTCTAATAATCAGACAGAATAACGTGTAAAAGTGTTTGTAAGATCCGATCAGCAGAAATCACCGTTTAATGTGTAAACGTGTCTATGGGTGCTGGTAGTCGACAATGTGTGGATTTGTCTGTACATGGTAGTATATGACAGTGTAAATGTGTTTGTGTGTTGCTGTGTTTGTGTGTTGCTGTTTTTGTGTGTTGCTGTGTTTGTGTGTTGCTGTGTTTGTGTGTTGCTGTTTTTCAGGTATCCGTGTGGTGACAACGCTGGTGAAGGGTATTGTCACAAATGGGGATAGGGTGCAGCTTAGGCCGCCAGTCACTACCAGTTGACCAGAGTGATCCAGCTCTAGCGTCCAGCGTTGATGAGAGCTCCGACTGCCAGTCACAACCAGCTGACCAGAGGGAGCCAGCTCTCAGGTCTAGCAAGGATGAGAGGATCGACCACCAGTCACAACCGGCTGACCAGCGGGATCCAGCTCTAGGGTCTAGCAAGAATGAGAGCTCCGACCACCAGTCACAACCAGCTGACCAGAGTGATCCAGCTCTAGGGCCCAGCGTTGAAGAGAGCTCCGACCGCCAGTCACAACCAGCTGACCAGAGAGAGCCAGCTCTCAGGTCTAGCAAGGATGAGAGCATCGACCACCAGTCACAACCAGCTGACCAGAGGGATCCAGCTCTGGGGTCCAGCAAGGATGAGAGCTCCGACCGCCAGTCACAACCAGCTGATCAGAGAGAGCCAGCTCTCTCTGATGGTGCTGGTAAGTGAATTGATTGCTTTAGTTTATGGAGGGACAAAAATGTGGGACTTGACTTCAAGGGTCATTTCAAGGGTCATTGCATGGTCCACTGCTTGTAATGGCTTTCGTTTGAAGCAAGACGGGCTTATTCATTCGTACGGCTCCATGTGAGATGCAGTGGAACTCGGATAAGAGGTACTGCCTCGGGAGTGGAAAAACGAACTTCCGAGGTTTTGCAGAGCAAACGCTCGCATGGATTTTCGCGCCTGGGCTTGCGAATATTTGTGCGAATGTTCGCGCGAAGTTTGTGTTTTTCATGATTTTCGCTCCAAGAAAAGTACCAGTGCACTCGTGCTTGTTTGAGAAGTCGCCTTCGGTAGATCTACAGAGCTTCATCCGACTGAGAATTTATTTGCTGCGAGTGGCTGCACCCTGAGACAAGAGCTTTTTGCATATGTTGTCGATAACCAGAGACCCACAGATAACCATGTTGGCCTGTGCCGCACTCCGGTGCTGCGAACACGCAAACACTCACACAAAGTTTCGCTTTTCGTGATTTTCGAGCAAACAGTTGTGCAGAACGTCTCTAGTATCTGAAGTACTTCTTATCCAAAGTTGACTCTTGCTAGACCTTGCAACGTGTATGTGGTTAGTGACACGAAACCAGGCTTCATTCACTGCAAACAGCCTCCTCAACACTGTCAACATGCTAAAATACCTGTCAAGTGAACCTGTCAAGTGGAATGGTGTTTGAAAAACACCAAAAAAGTTCTTAGTACACTCTGTCTGCACCTGCTGAAAAGTCCTTCATAATACTAGTTGTAAATCCTATCATGGTACGTCGTTTCCCAAACACATTTGTATATGAGCTTGCACCTCTTACCCGGGTATGGTCTAAGTGAGTTCCACTGTAATTCTAGAAATGTAATGCAAGAGCCTTGAGGCCACAACGTTTGTATGCAACTTTGGCAAGCCATGCATGCAACGTTATACAGCGCGTTGGCAAACGTGGCTTTCTCCGACCTCGTGACTGACGTGAAAACACAGCAAATGCATCCGCAGTATGTAGGAGTGTAGCATTGCAGGAGAGTGAGGGAGAAACCCTGGACATGATAACTTGTATTTCTAACATAGTTGACTGACAGAGAGTCTAATACCGTATTTCCCCGTAAGTTAGTACGTACTCACTTTCGAACTTAGCAACCACATGAGTACAAACTTTCGGGGGTGGTACTATCTTTCGGGGAGTACTTTTTTATCGGGAGTAAATGACACGCAGTGGGAAGCCTGCGCAACTCTAGTGTCCGTGCATATGATGAAGAGTACACATGTACTCTTGATATGATGTATGTACTGTACGGTGTCTGTACATGTAGGACGGGTACGAACTTACTATCTTTCGGGGGAACTGTCTTCCGGGGGGAACTGTCTTTCGGGGTGATAACCTCGGCAGTGGAAAGTGTATTTTATAGGGGGTACTAAGTCATTGGGGAGAACTTACTTACGGGGAAATACGGCAGTCCAGGAGCCAGGCCCCATAAATATTCACGCCCGTTCCCACTTCGAGCACACAACAAATGCACACCTAAAACCTGACCATGACACCTAGTGCTCCCTATAAATAACATTATTTCCTTTAGATTCAGGATGCAAGAGCATAAAATACGGAAGAAATTGTTTCACATCTGTAACCATAGCAACGGCATAGTAACAGCATAGTAACTGTTACATTGGAGACAATTTAGGATGTTTTTTTAATTATCTATACCACCGGGTTCGGACAAAATGCCTTTGAAACATACAGAAAGGTGCAGTGCAAATAGGAAAGAGGGAAGAAACCATTCTTCAGTATACATGTACATGTACGTGTACTATGCTACATAATCATTGATTTGTATTACACAAAATGCATGGCATGCCGCCTAGGTTGATAATTAGGACAACAAGAAAGGATTGGAGTCAAATCCTACATAATGAACATGACTGATATGATGTACAATGTCCGTCAAGATATCCAAAACCAAAGAGTAAGCATATGAAGCACACATGAACAGAGACTGAAAGAGCTGAAGAAAGACGTGAGGTCTAGACAAGGGCTCCGCTGCATTGCAGTGGCGTCTTGGCCTTACGCGATCTTGATGCAAGGCTTTGTGATGGTCACAAAGAGACTTTTTCCAGGCGTCAAGCGACTTGCAAACTTATCGCTTGCTCATTCAGCAGCGAGGAAGGCAACCAACCGCACCTTGTTCTTGCCCTTAGACAGATTTTTTGCACCATATGCCATTGTGGCGCACCGTGATACCAATCATGAATGGCAGCAAATTTATCATTAATCAGTTGCCTAATGGGTCGGTCCGTTGCCGAGCACGTCACCTTTGGGGACTGTGGAATGACCCGCGACACCGGCTACGTTAAGTTAACATGATAATGCTCATCTTCCACAAAAACAAAACAAAAAACAGTGCTAGGATAAACTACCTCCAGCCACCAGAAACAAATACAGTGCATTACGCATATGGACAGAGATTGCACTAGTACATGACTGTATACCAATCGTAGAGTAGCAAAACAAGAAAGATGGAAGTTATCGGGTCTACACCATCAGAGTTGGCAGCTATATGTACAGTCAACTTCGCATATAACGACACTCGGCGGGGCATCCAAAAGGTGTCCTTAGTCGCGACGTGTTGTTACACCCGAAGTCTCATTATATGTATTACAGTGGGAGGGGACTTTGCTCTGTGCATGGAAATTCTGTCGTTATTCGCGAATCGTCGTTATGTCCGCAGTTGTTATTAGCCAAGTTGACTGTATTGAATTATCCTGGTGTGCAGAATGACGCTGGGAGTGTGGTTGATATCCACTGTTGGTTTGCTATCGTCAGTGTCAATCGCAGTACCTTCACTATTTCATGTCTAATACCTTTTACGGTCCGCACGACTTGGACTACAACACCATAGATATCCACACGAAATGGTAATAAATCAAAGAGGCCTTCTTCATAGCAGTTGGCGCAATATATTAACGGGATCGCATTTTCAGCGTCTCCGACCTCCAAACTGTAATTATAGCTGGCCAGCCTGCTGTTTATTGGCAGACAAGAATTGTGCTGCTTCTTCAAATAGGCAGTTTATTGAGGTCTGTCCATGACATATTCAGCATTGCTGTGCGTGAAAGGAAAGGTGCAACTTTAGACTGCTGCTGGCATAACCCTCTTGGGGTTATGTACTCTTGCTAGCACTGCTACTAGTAGTAGTACCTGGCTGGCTAGGGCTAGGCCCTTTGACACAGATATATCATTATGGGGAAATCTCACCATGCGGTGCCGCCGAGAGTCGTAAAACTACTACTCCCCCCACCCCCTCCCCACAGTGCGCTTTCGGTGAAAGAAGCAATGGCCGATTTGGACGAAAAAAGTCTGTTTTAGAAGTCGATGCATTCACTTGTGAAGGCGACGAACAGTGCAGTCGATGCCCGGGAATCCTTCTCTTCAACTTATTATTATTATTATGTGCTTGTTCGCGTAGACATCAGCATGGCCTGCAGCTGCATTAATGGGCATGCAAATCATGCAAACCAGCCAAAAATGTTCGCATAAGCCACTTCGAATAGATACAAAAGACCACAACAGTTTCAGAAAAAAGGGTTTGCTCCCCACACCGGAGCTCGCGCTATTCCGCCGAACTTACAAATCATCGCCGAAGTCGCAACCACTACTTCGTAGTTTCAGAAAAAGAAGAAATATGCGAAAAGAAGACAAAAACTAGGGTGCTGACACCACTCGGGCACAGATGCCCACCCAACCGCTTCGGTCAGCAGCAAGAGCACGGAACGCCTCCAGATCGACTTTGCTTGACAAGGAAAGTCCAATCCGCTTGGCATCATCTTGTAGTAGCGTTGGTAGTGTGTGTCTTGGTCGTCCCCTCCAGCCCGCTGGACGAGGCTCTGCGAAGTACGCTCCCATGGCCAGTGATGGTGGGGAGTCAGCCGGGAGCCGGAGGACGTGCCCAAAGAGCCTCCACCTAGCTCTCAAGATGATAATGCCGAGAGGAACCGCGCCGGTACGCTCATAGAGCCTCTCGTTCCTAATCCGATTCGGGAACACAATGCCGATTAGCGCCCGCAGCTGTTTTCGGTGGAAGGCCTCAATACGGCTCAGCTGCTGTTTCGTTGGTGCCCATGTTGCACAATTGTAGCAGAGTACAGGGAGTACAAAGGCATTATAGAGCCGGATGCGGAGATCCTCCGAAACTAGCGACCTACGGATCCACAGCGTCCAGAGTTTACCAAAGGCAACAGTTGCCAGTTGCTGTCGCCGTAGCATATCCTCGGCATCACCTAATAGGGACCCGAGTTTCTTGGTGGTTCGCCACTCCTCCTCGATGCGATCAGTGTGCCGTTCGATGTGCGTGTGCTCTGTTTTTGGTCTCATTCACTTTCAAATCCCATTCGAGGAGCTTGTTGGATATGGCTTCAACTTAGCATCGTCAAAAAGTTGTGTGGAAGAAGTGGGAACGAAAGTCACTTTCTAGAGGTATTTTCAGGGCCTGACTGCTGGACTATATATGGCTCGACACTTTTAACTGTGCTTTGCGCTGTTGCAATAAATAGACTGTTCACTCATGTGCACGTGTACTGGTTTCCTGTGTTCATGTCTGGAGGTGTCTGGCTGTCATGTCCATTGGCGGGCTGTGTGGCCACGCGCTTTGCCATCTTAGTGCAAGACAAAGCTGTCTGAACTATCCACGTGGAAATAAAAGTTTAATTAAAATTAGCTAACCGCAATCAATAAAACTAGCTGAAACGACATTTGTGTACTTTATTCATGCAATGTAAAAACGGTGGAGACGATGTGCAATAAAATGATGAAAATATGAAGAAATGGTGTAGGGAAAAAATATGGATTCAAACAAGTTTTCGTACAACACTCATCAGGAATCGTCGTTGTACTAAAGGACACTGAAACAAAAATTGAACTGTTATAGAAAATCTAAGTTAGAGAAAATAACACTAAGAGCAAC